GATTCAATAATAAAAAAATTAATATGTTTATAAACGTCGTAATAATATATTAAAAATTTAAGATAATAAATTTCAACTTGGATGTACGCTGAATGTCCGTAGGATATATTATGAGGATATCCCTATTATATCAAAAAAGGATATCCTATTTAAGTTCCATTTAAGTCCCGGGACGTATGGACGTAAATGGGACTTAAAATGTATATCCATGGGACATCTAGTGCTGTGTGGGTTGATGTCGCGAGAAATTGTGTGCCGTTTGCTTCCCTCGCGACATCCAGATCTATTTTAATGATAGATTAGTAAATTAACGCTTTCGGGTAATAATAATTATTCCAAAAGTTCCATAAACTAATTTACCTGAAGCGAAATAATGTGAGAGGTACGGAGTGGAGGTAAGATAAGATCTCGTTTCAATATACAAACGTCTGGGAATTTTATTTTTCGTTTCTCCTATGCAATCTCTATTTTAAGGTGGGCTATTGCATCGAAATGGGCTCGTATTCTGGTGCAGAATATAGATATAGTCTATTTTGAGCCATCGCGAAATAACTGTTATGAAGAATGATTTTTCTATTGGCTATTAATAGATAGGGCGTTCCAGTACATTTTTTATTTTCTGCGATTCTATTTTCTAATTTTATTATTACCAACTGATTGTGACTAAGGATTAGATCGACTTTCAAGTATAATAAACATCAAATCAAAGAGCTAAGAAAGTCCTACAAACTGATGATTAGTCGATAGTACAGGTGATCATTATGAACTCAAAAGGATTTATCTTTCAATTCCTTATGAATTAGTGTAATCTGTTCAAAATAAATTTAAAAGAATTTCTTTTAATCCAACAAGGCTTATTCTTATACGGAGTATAAAAGCTTTTGTATCCGACAAAGAGCTCAGAATTGGCATAAAAATTTTTTAAATAAATTCTTTTTGAATTTTTAAGAATGTTTCTAGAACAGAAATTGAATGGAAAACGAATTCATTTCATAATTCATTTATTTCACAATTGGAAATTGAAATAGAATTTTTTTTTGGATTCTCTGTGTTATTTAGGCAATTACTTCAAAGACTAGATTGAAGTATTGTTACGCAAATCTACAGCAATCTATTCCGCGCAAATGTCAAATTTTTTGGGAATTGACTGTCTCAGCGTACAGCGAGATGCGTTTCGTCACCGCAATTTGCGGCAACGGACATGTAACTTGTTCTATTGTAAAACGCAGTTCCGCAACTTTTCCGCGAAGACGTTGCGCGTGTCTACCCCTCGCTTTCGGTTTTAATCTCGTCGAGAGTTAAGAATCAGTTTTACGATCGTTCGCGACGCCAAACTTTCCGAACGGAACGTTTCGTTCGTGTGAGGTTCCACTCGACAGGAACGGCGATTCGCCGAGGATTGTCTCGCAATGCAAGATCGTTGCAGTGACACGTTGCAGCGTGCGCGATCGCATCATTCGCCAGAAATATTCCGCGAGGCGCTGACTAAAAACGGGATGATCTAGGCCTAGATTTGTACGTCTGTGTCGTGCAAATAATCAAAGTCGCCGTGATGTACGATAGAAAAGACTCGGCGAAGATAAAACTCGACGAAAATAAACTGGGATCGATGAAATGATTGTTCATTCTGATTTAACATTTAAACAATCAAAACGCTCTATCAATGAACACGACAAGTATATTTTTATGCAATATATAACACACTTGCATATAAAAAATCAGGGTTTTAATTAATTATAGAAGGTATACGATTTAGATTTGTGTTAAAATTTAACTCCTCTATATCTATCAATTTCATTCCAAGAATCTCTCTTATCGATATCGTTAAGTTCCATTTTGTTACGATTGTGAGTTTGGGGATCCGTATCATGCCCGGCGCTCTGTATTTCGTCACAGTTATGAGCGATACGGAGTTTCGGATTGCATCGATATGACGCTAAAAACGGTTGCGCGCGTCACAAGCGAGACGTCATTGCCAAAAGGCGAGCCCGAGATTAATGCCGGGGCGACTTCTGCACTTTTTCTCTTTCTCGCTCTCACGGGGGCTTATCGTAAATAATGTCTGGTTGTAATGTCTCGCGGGAATCGCGCCAGTAATGCGCTGGTAAATATAACTTTGGACGTCGAAGTAACCACGAAGTGTCTGGGTAAACACACTATTTGCACGAGATATCCGGGCGCGCGACCTTTGCGGCCGCACTTTAGCGTGCACTTTGTCGATCGACACCTCGGGAATGCATCTCGAACGCGGCCAGAAGTGTTTGGCACTTTACTTGTTATTACTTGACTTCGAAACATTTCAAGTATGTCAGAGACGATCCGCCTCTTGTTTCTCTAGTTCTTATCATTATCTTTCTCTTTTACGTGTCAGAGAGAGAGAGAGAGAGAGAGAGAGAGAGAGAGAGAGAGAGAGAGAGAGAGAGAGAAAGAGAAAGAAACTGTAATAGTATTTTTTAAAAACTGTTTTTTAAGGAGATCCAAAAGAATTCACGTGTTATCGAATTATGAAATGAATTTATTTCATCCCATTTCTGTTCTAAAAGCATCCTTAAAAGAATTCAAAAGGAATTTGCTTTTATGTCACCAATTCTGACCTCTTTTCCGGATACAAAAAGAATTCTTTGTACTTGGGACAACTTTAATTCACTTCCATAAGAAATTAAAAGGTGATTTCTCTAAAAATCTCTTCTAAACTAGCAGAAAGGAATTACTTTCGAGTTCATTTCGTCCAACACTCAATCAACAAGTTATGCTAATTTATGAGAAATTTAACAAGCGATTCTTAACCGACCACCTGTGCCATTTGGATTGCACCATGTGATCAGAAAAATCATTTATAATTACATTTACTCAAATGGGCAACCTGTAAAAATAAAAATAAATAACGCGATTTTAGATATGGAAATGACAAGTGCACGCTTTTCTTTCATATATCTCTCGAGAGCACTGTCTTCGTCGGCTGACATATCTCTAGAGCACATCGGCCAGCTATTGCATAAAGTATGCACGAGGCAATTCGCTTCGACTCCCGTATGCATCCAGTCCGGAATACTTTCCCGGTGTAGTAAGCTTCAGCCTTAGTCATATCGCTCCGTGCTGTAGCTATCGCGACTGCGATGACGTCGTTAATAATACGCGCGTGTGCGACAACGTCGTCGCCGTGTCTGACGGATCGTCTAACCGTCACGCTATATTTCCGCGCGACCTTACCGAAAATACCCGCCGACGAAATGCGGAATTTGGTATTTCTTACAGAAGAAGCGCACCCTCAGCGCCAGCGATTTAATATCCGGATGGAGATTGGATGTGTCGTGTTCGACACTTTGTCAGAGACAGAGAATTAAGTGAGAACAGTTATACAACAATTTTGCGAATGCTTTCAACATCCATGCTACGTTATGAAGAGGTGATATTTTACGATACTGTTAGAAATGTTTAGGATTATTTTCGAAAAGTGAATTCAAGAATATGGTTTTATACTATTAATTACACAGGCCTACAAAAATGACACCTTTGAATCCCCACCGAGATTTAAGGGTGTTTCTCTATGTAATTTTTAGCGCTGAATCCAAATCTGGCCGCAGAATTTGTCTAGCACGTCAGGATTTTGAGAGAATTGTAACGATTTTTTAATTTTTGGGCCGCCATATTTGATCAGCCATGTTGAAAATACAAATTCTAACTTTAAAATCTTAATTAGTGACTCGAAAAACCCTTTAATACAAAGTTCTGAAGAAATTGGTCTGAGAAACGTTCGGTGCTTAGGTACCAAAGAAAATGGAATTTGTTAATATTCAGTGTCCTACAGTTGTAATTATATTACACCATTCCGAAAACCGCGTATATGCATTTCCGTAGATTTTGTCATGAGAATCTGTTGACTAAATTAACGAGTATCATCGCGTTTCAAACTTATTTCCATCTGAAAATGTCAAAAAATGGCCTTTTTTGCACTTTTAAATTAGAATATCTCAAAATCCTGACGTGCTAGACAAATTCTGCGGCCAGATTTTGATTCAGCGCAAAAAATTACATAGAGAAACACCCTTAGATCTTGGTGGAGAAAATCTTGTAGGCCTGTGTTATTAAGTATTTTATTATTTATACATACTGTCCGATCATATTACTTTGATAATAATATTATTTTGACGATTCAACGAAATTTTATATAATATTAAGAATTAATTTCAGACGAATTATTAAAAATAAATAGCTTGTTATCGCTGCAAGTATTATATCTTTAACGGAGAAAAAATTTATAAAATAAGTAATGTGCGATTTACATACAAATGTTATTGTGCATTAGGGAATTTAATAAATTATTTTTTTACTTATACGAAGAAAGGCAGAAAAGTTCAGGTTACAATTAGACGGTTAAATCATCTTTGCACGAGAAAATCGTGAGTCACGTTTTACAATCGTCTATGCAATTTAGTTGATAAAATCCTAACATAAAATATTTAAAGTGTTAACAAAAGGTTATAGGATTAACATGTTTTAACATTATGTTCATTCAATATCAAATAGCGTCGGTATTCGCACTTCGAAATTATTTTTTTCAAATGTCGAACATTGTCTTCGCAAAAAAAGCTATACATCTAGTTTCATTAAAAAGTAAATTACCTTAGCCTTAAGTAGGTAGATAAAATAGAAGTTTGAATATTAGCCAAGGTCATGTCGAGACTCAAGTTAATGAACACATGAACATGTATTACCAGTTATAAACTCTATCGTTATATTATATAAAAAATGTGATTTCACATCAGAGCCTTATGAATTTTATTTGTTTTATTTGTTATATAAAAGATTTTAAAAAATTTCATTGTGAAAATATCGAAGCAGCATTTAATAATAAGAAAAAAAAATTTAATATAATTACAAAAACTTATTTGCTGAACTGACTTTTGGAAAATAATTATAACGATTTCTAACAACGTGTCGTAAAAATATTGTGACGAATCAATCGCGTTTACACGTACGCAGCTTACGATTGTTAAAACCAGACGTCGCGTGTTGAGCGCTGACGGGCCGATAATAAATGCGCGAAGAAGACAGCCTCGTAAATATTTATAGCTTCGCGGAAGCGGCACATAAATTATCAATAAACAAATTTCCGTTCTCTCTGATGTCTCTGCGCGTAAATCCGCCATTCGCCCTCCGGTCTCGCTCTACCACGGTCGAACTTCGTGCAACTTTCGCGCGAAGGAGCGCCTCGATCGTCGCCGCGATCTCTTTTCTTTCCCCGGTGCCGTGCAAAGTGCACCGCGGAAAAAGAGATTTATGACACGGCAGCTCTTTGACTCACCGTGTAACATACTTTGTCAATCATAACTAGCGCACTTGTTATCTTCCTCCTCGCGCGAAACCATTTTTCACTCGCGCACACGTCGACGAATGCACCGCTCGCCGCTCTTCGCGTCGAGACGTTGAAGGGAATTCGATCGACACGCGAGTCGACGAACCCTTTCGGTTATTGGAAATCGACTGGCTCGAGCGAGCTAATTTGAAGAATCAATCTGCAGTCTTTGTTAGCAGTCTCGATAAATATCGTTCGCCACTCTTTTGCGTTATTAACGGATTCTCAGTTCCGTTTCCTGCTGCGTTCTCTCTTTGGGAACACTCGGAGGTAACATTTTATGTTTACCCCATTTATCGAGATTAAATTAATAATAGAGACTGTCGGTAATCCGTGGAATTTTACTGTTTCGCAACGACTTCAGCACGACTCCGCAAGTGGAAAAGAAAACTGTTACCAAATGAACGTTGGCTCTCACGAAAATCACGAAAACGTGCTTTCTTAATTCTTAACGTCCGACAAATAATCGAAATGGCAGTCGTGTGCGATTTTATATTGATTCTGATGAAAATTAATAACAATTTAGATGTCTTTGTTCTGTCTTGAATCTATTTGCAATTTTCAGTCCACGTGCTTCCTCAATCTCTGCATAATTTCGAGAGCTCCTTGCGATCCGGAAATTCCTCAAGCACTGGTTGTCCCGAGTTCTTCAAAAATTCCGAAGCCCTCCTCGAGATCTCGGAGGTATGAGGTCGCCGTAGAATCGAAGCCGATCACGCGAGTTTTGCACCTATCGGGGGAGATCGGTCTCGAGGGTCGCCCGAGAATTACGGTCCGGCTGCAGATCGCGAGGAAACGGACCGGGACCCGTGAGGGACCAAGAGAGGAGGCATCACGTCGCGGGTGCGCACTTGGCGCTCGTCGGCGGCGGACTGGCCGCCCGCGAGTGAATCGGGACTAAGTCGCGGCTAAGTCGCGCGGTCGGCGGGATATTAAACATTTCGCAGCTGGGCGCGATCGTAATCCGATGGCAGTTACCCAAGATCTAAAAAGGGCCGAATGTCAAGCTCAGCGCCCGTAGAGCGCCGCGTGCCGCCGCGCCCGGTCGCGTCCGCGAAGGTGCGAAGTCACCCCCGCAAGAGTCACCTTCGGCCGCAACGTTCCGCATGGAGGGAAGAAAAGTGTGCCCCAGCAGCACAGTGCATTGGCTAAACATTGGCTGCATTCAGTAGAAGAAGCTGCTTTGCGACAGTTGTAAAATTCGTAAATTTGACTGAAGTATGCGCTTAGATTCTGCCATAGTTGAGAGCACATGCCAATCAGATTTAAGATTTTTACAACAGTTGCGAAGCAGCTTTTTCTGCTGAATGCGGCCATTGGCTAAACATTGGTCCAATGTTGGTTACATTAGAAATGCATTGGCCGATATTGTCCAATGTAAATACTGGCCATGAAATAAATGTAAATATTGCACGATAATAATTATGTTATATTAAATTTATGTTGGAAGTGCATTGGCCAATATTGAACAATGCAATAAAAATATTGATTTAATTTTAGTACACTGATAAAAAACATATCTTAATAAAAAAAATTACTTTACTCAAGAAAATTATTTATTAGGTGGCTCCTAATAGCTTATTAACTTAAATTTAAAAATTAATAAACAAATTAAACCGTGCATTGCTTTAATTTAGGTATATATTTATTAAATATCAAAGAATAGATCATTTTAAATTTAAAACCTTTTATTTTAATTCTATAAAATGTTTACTAAGATGCAATTTTCACAGCGAAGAAAATTGGATTTCTTATTTAACATTAACAATTATTTCGTTTAATAAATATAATATAGTATTCTACATCTCATAAAATTTTTATTTAAATGTTGAAAATGTAGCGATTTAAATTAATTTACTTAATATAACGCACAGATTTACTTGAAATTTGATATTGTTATAATATTTAAATAAAATAAATATTTACTTCGGTAAAAAAATTTTAAGTAAATCTATTTACTTAGTTTAACAACTTTTTTTTGTCAGTGTACAATATTAAACCAATATTGCTAAATATTGGCTAAATGAAAAAAGGCATTCATCTTACAATATTGGAGCAATATTGGGAATACTAGATTCACTAGATATACATATTGTGCTGCTGGGGGCTCACAATTCAATAATTTTGATCGATCCTAAGTGCAAACAAAATCTGAAAAACGCTCAAGGAATATCCAAGAGACATTTACAGTGTACGAACATTTTTCAAATATCTTTGAGACATTACATATACATATGTTTCAAACTCTTGTGTATTATACTATTATTAATACAATAAGAAGCAATTTTTATAATTTCATTTCGTCATTGAGAAACTTTGCAGCTTAAAAATCATTGTTAAATTACTGAGTAAAGCGATTAAATTGTAACCCAAAAGCACTGTTGATCCTTGTTTATATAAATTGTAAATTGAAAATGATATTACAAAAACAATCTATTTTATCATTTAAATAATACTTTTAATACATGGTAATGTTTATATCTTTATTAATAATGTTTTCATAGGTATTTATTAATAATGTTTTCATAGGTATTTATTCTAAGTGAGTTTCCATTTCTTTTGAAACTTTTCTAATGTAATTTAACAATTTCGCCTACAAGAATGCAACAGTTTCCTCCACAACCGCTGTCAGAGAAAAGAGCAGAGATCAAGAGTGACGAATTGTGGCGCTATCTCGCAACGCAGCACCGACACGTCGATAACGCAAATGACGATTATATCTTCTGAAAATAATAATGAAATGTTTTAAGATTGTGTTTTGTTTTCGCGGAATACTTCTAACCACTTCTAACCCAAAGAGTAAAGAGACACAGGAGGGAACGTATCGGTGGTGGGGGCTATATTTCTGTGCGACGGAAGTAAGTCAGGTAGCCATCTTGACGATCCACTTTTGTTCATATTTTGTTACGTTGATGAGCGCCCGTCTATAGACACTTGGGCCCGGTTTCACCAAGGCGAATCAAGGCCTTCACACATAAAATTCCGTAAGCGCTTAAGGACTTACGTAAGCCGTAGACTTAAGGTAACCCCTGGTCCACAATCTTGCTTTAAGTAAGTTGTAAGCCTTAAGCCGTAAGAAATTAACCAATCACAGGTGAGAGTGAGGGGAATAAATGCCTGCGATTGGTTAATTTCTTACGGCTTAAGGCTTACAACTTACTTAAAACAAGATTGTGGACCAGGGGTAAGTCCCAGTCTACAATAGATGATTTAAGCCCTAAGCTTTAAGAAATTGGCCAATCACGGTCAAGTATGAGAAGAATGCGCGACTGTGATTAGTCAATTTCTTAAGGCTTAGGGCTTAAATCTCTATTGTAGACTGGGACTTAGGCAGAGAAAAACGTAAGTCCGTAAGTCCCAGTCTACAATAGATGATTTAAGCCCTAAGCTTTAGTCCCAGTCTATAAGTCCCAGTCTACAATAGATGATTTAAGCCCTAAGCCTTAAGAAATTGACTAATCACAGTCGCGCATTCTTCTCATACTTGACCGTGATTGGCCAATTTCTTAAAGCTTAGGGCTTAAATCATCTATTGTAGACTGGGACTAATAGATGATTTAAGCCCTAAGCTTTAAGAAATTGGCCAATCACGGTCAAGTATGAGCAGAATGCGCGACTGTGATTAGTCAATTTCTTAAGGCTTAGGGCTTAAATCTCTATTGTAGACTGGGACTTAAGAAATTGGCCAATCACGGTCAAGCATGAGTAGAATGCGCGACTGTGATTAGTCAATTTCTTAAGGCTTAGGGCTTAAATCTCTATTGTAGACTGGGACTAAGCGCTTACGGATAGTTGTCTGCCATCAGCCTTAGGGCAACTTTCGCCAAGCTCCGGTTAACCCAACCGGTCTAGTAACATACAGGATTGCAATCGAATCTGATATATTTTCTCAGATTCTCAACAGATTTCTCATCAGATTCGGTTGCAATCCTGCATGTTACTAGACCGGTTGGGTTAACCGGAGCTTGGTGAAAGTTGCCCTTAATCTAATCGGTCCGTTAACTTAACAGGGTGCCAACATAAAACTTCTTTATTAACCTATTTTCTTGGTTAATAAAGAAGTTTTATGTTGGCACCCTGTTAAGTTAACCGACCGATTAGATTAAGAGGATCCCGTAGTACGTCTACCGACATCTATGTATTACCGACAGAATTACCATTTTTGTAATATAGGGTCTGTTTTTTATTGCTGCACTCCTGAACTAGTGCACACTGGTGCAATGAGTTGGAATGAGAGGTAATCTATTTGTTTCATTTTAACTTATTGCACTAGTTCAGTAGTGCAGTAATAAAGAACAGGCCTATACATGAGCACACGGACACACTACTACGATACATCACACCCATACATAAACACGAAAGTTTAATACTAGCTATACTCTTATTTTAAACGTCTAATCCCAATTTAGAGGGTTTCACAGTAATTCTACATGTCATCGAATCCAGGGAAACTCAGTTTCATGTGAGTACAAGTTGTAGAACTTTTATACAAAGCACGTACAAGTATGACGGAGTGACAGTTCGCGTCTTTGAGGTTATATGTGATCGATCATGAGCTAGTTTACACCGATCGTTTGGTACGCGTACCAAGTACTATATCGGTATCAAATCGCTTGATTCGCTCGATGTAAACGCTTGCGGATTACTTTAGTGCGCTCTGGTCTGATACTCCTGAATCGCTAGTATCAGACCAAGTTGGTGCGCGTATCAAAATATTTTAGGGCGCTGTAAACGCTTGATTCGATTCGGGTCGTATTATACCCGGCATTCCTGCTAGATTGAGGTTAGAAGTATGATTCAGTTTAGCATATTGTGGTAGAAGTTTGATTTTACTTTATCCAGATTAAAAATCTAACCTAACCTGTTTTGAGACGAAATGGTGTAAACAGGGATGTATCAAATGTTTAATCCGTACCAACTTAATGTGCGCACCAACCGATTTAACGGTGTAAACTAGACCCATATGAATTTTGTAATTTTGACTCATTTTTGGTATAAAATTGGAGTTTCCCGGGATCATCAATGCATATACTGTCATTGTACGCAAGCATTTTTGATTCCATGAATTTAATACGACGATAGGTTATAACTACGAAAATGGTAATTTTGTCGGTAAAACAGACCCGCTACGGGATCCTCTTAAGAGGATCCCGTAGCACGTCTACCGACATCTATGTATTACCGACAGAATTACCATTTTCGTATATACATGAGCACACGGACACACTACTACGATACATCACACCCAGACATAAACACGAAAGTTTAATTCTAGCTATACTCTTATTTTAAACGTCTAATCCCAATTTAGAGGGTTTCACAGTAATTCTACATGTCATCGAATCCAGGGAAACTCAGTTTCATGTGAGTACAAGTTGTAGAACTTTTATACGAAGCACAAGTATGACGGAGTGACAGTTCGCGTCTTTGAGGTTATATGTGATCGATATATAAATTTTGTAATTTTTACTCATTTTTGGTATCAAATTGGAGTTTCCCCGGATCATCAATGCATATACTGTAATTGTACGCAAGCATTTTTGATTCCATGAATTGAATACGACGATAGGTTAGAATTACGAAAATGGTATTCTGTCGGTAAAACAGACCCGCTACGGGATCCTCTTAACTCGCGTTGGTGAAACCGGGCCCTAGTCTCGCTTAACGTTTTTGTTCTGTGTGTCAAGAGATTGCAACCGATCGGCTTTTCCTACTTCGCGTGAACTGTCGGACTTTCGCTGCTCGCGGATCTCGCTACCAAATCTCTCCGATACGCGCGGGGAGAACCCCCGAACGTTAGCACTCTGTAAATATTAATAGTTGTTCATTATATTCGCTAAAAGCAAGTGACGTTCTAATCATTTTCGGACCTAACCTTTGATCCATTCTTGCACACAGATCTTTACGGGTTATGTACATAGACATATGTATATATAGACCCAGCGTTCTGTGAGTGGAGTTGTCTGCGTCTTCTAAAGCCTCCGCTACAACGATTCTCGGTTCTGTCTACAATAATGCCCAGGTAGCACGCCATATCTAAAAGACAGCTTTAAGACGTCTTTAAGTCAAAAGACGTCTTAAAGACGTCCTTATGAT